ATATATATATCTCAAAAGCCAAACCTGTTTTATCATCATGAAGACAATGTTCGTATCTACCTTAAGAGATGTGAAGTAGATTATTTACAGATATTTATTGTTGTTAGTGACAGGGGGTAAGCTTTGCTGGTTCGAAAACTTAATTACAATGACAACATCCCTGAAATAATGAGGTTTGGACTCCCACATTTCAGCACCAGAATCATTGACTCTTGTGTTTGTGGAAACGAAGAAGGGAGCAGATTCTCTTGAAGAATATCTTCATAATGAGGGCTATCCAGTTACATCAATTCATGGTGACCGCAGCCAAAGAGAAAGGGAGGAAGCTCTGCGCAGATTTCGATCAGGGGCTACCCCAATTCTTGTGGCCACTGCTGTAAGTAATAAAGGAGGTCTGTTAAGTATGGCATGACAGACGAGTTTGACAGCCAAAAAGCACTAAAGAAATGAATGTGAATGGTTCAGCAATTATCTATCCTGTCAGAAATGTTTTCATTATTAATTTTGTCGCTACCACTGCCTCATCCACCTGAATATTATTTGAGCTTGCAAATAATGAATGATTGTTTTAAAGGAGCAGCAATATTTAGATCACAGGTTTTAATAGGCAGTTGCATTTTAGAGCAATAATCATAAAGAAATCCATACTGTAGTCATTTGATTTCAGATACTCAGGAACCCTTTGCAGAAACAGTTTTAGGAATTGCAGTTCCAGTTGTATGAGTATGAAGTACATCAGTTTTATAGATGTGTGTGTGTGTGTGTGTGTGTGTGCGTGTGCATATGTGAGAGAGAGAGAGAGAGGATACATTACACCTCTGATATTCCATCTTCTCCTCACGTTTAAAATGTATTCAAAATGTTTGTGCTTCACACCAGTAGTTGCTTTCATACTTCACCTTATTACTTAATTTTTGGTAGTGATATATTTGTACTCTTTTTTTATAAAGTCATTTGAATGGTGGTTCATTATGTTGACAACTTTCACTGAGGTCTTCATATTGCAACATGTCACAATATCTATAAGTAAATCTTTTTCTCAGAAAGATACTCTGTCAGTTTTAACCTTATACTCTATTTTTGTTCAGGTAGCTGCTCGTGGTTTGGATATACCACATGTGAAACATGTAATAAACTTTGACCTTCCATCAGATGTTGAAGAATACGTTCATCGCATTGGACGTACAGGCCGCATGGGAAATTTGGGTACGTTTCAGTGTTTGTTAAGTATATACAAGGTGATTCAAATTGCTACTGCCAGATTGTAGGAGGAAGTTGTTAAGATAATTGAGGGTAGAAAATATGAAGAAACTTGTTCAGGTAATAACTCTTGTCACCTTATGATGTTGAGCCACGTTTATTTAAGACAGTGAAATAGTTGCTTGTTCATATCTACATTCATTTATTTACATATAATATACAAGGGATGAACAGAATAATGGAAACATCAAGAAATTGAGGAATAGGATTTGTTTGTTTTGGCTACATTGAAAGAACTTCAGTTGGCAGCACTGAATGTTCTTCCGTTTCTTTACATTCTGTAGTGCTCATGTAAGTGCATTAGTGATTGTGTTGAGTTACAGTCCATGTGAAAGAATTGGAAAATAGGAGGCTTGTCCTGTTTTGAAAGAGGACAGATCATTGGTGCATGTTTAGCTGGAACATCTGTGACAAAAACTGCCGCATTAGCTGTATCAAGAATGACAGTTTCTAAGTTTATGTCGGCATACATGAATCATGTGAAGACATCAGCAAAGAGGAACAGTGAACAAAAATGAATATATACAGAAAGAGATCATCATACACTGAGAAGGATTGTTTTGAAAAATAACAATACTGCAGCACAGGTGAGAGCAGAACTGAATATTCATGTTGAAGACCCTCTTTCCGCAAAAACTGTCTCACATGAGCTTCACAAATCCAACATCCCTGGAAGGGCTGTAATTGCTGAACCTCTGATTATTAAAAGTAATGCTCATATGTGTAAATGATGGTGTCATGACCATAAAACCCAGACATCAGACAACTGGAAGTGCGCACAATATGGTTACATGAATCCTTCACGCTGTTCCATATATATCAAGAAGGAAGCCTACAGTCCAGAATGCCTGGCTCGAACAGTGAAACATGCGGGAGGTTCTGAGATGCTTTGGACAGCAATGTATACACTATTCCGTTGGTTTCATTATTACCCTTAATGGCCGAATTACTGCAAGGAAGTGTTCGCACAGGTAGTGTAATCAGATGCATCCCATGATCCAGACGTTAATTCAGAATAGCAAGGAAGTACGTGGACAGGTTAGGTAATCAGTGCATCCCATGATCCAGACGTTAATTCAAAATAGCCAGGAAGTACGTGGACAGGTTAGGTAATCAGTGCATCCCATGATCCAGACGTTAATTCAGAATAGCAAGGAGGTACGTGGACAGGTTGTGTAATCAGATGCATCCCATGATCCAGACGTTAATTCAGAATAGCAAGGAAGTACATGGACAGGTTGGGTAATCAGTGCATCCCATGATTCAGACATTTCCAAACAGTCGTAAAGTGTTCCAAAATGACAATGCCCCAATTCACATGGCTGGAACTGTTCAGTCATGATTTGAAGAGCATGAAGCTGGACTTCATGTTTCAAGGTCAGCACAGTCATCATATTTAATCATTGAACAACCGTGGTCAGTTTCTGAAACTGGAGTGAGTAACATATTCCCACCTCCAACATCTCTAAAGCAACCTGAAGATGTTCTCCAATAAGAATGGTATGAAATTCTGCTAGAGACTGTTTGAAAACTTGTATAAGTCCATTCAAAGAAGGATTGCATCTGTATTGAAGACAGATGGTGGTCCAATACCATACTAATAATGAAGTGTTTCCATGATGTTTTCCAACACCAGCATCTGTTATGAAAAGCAAAATTGTGAGTTTGTTACCTTTTTAGATTCTGAGTTTTATGTTTAACAAAAATGTTCTGATGATGTGTAGGGGATGCACATGCATTTAGTTCATTGAATTCCATCATGAGAACTGTCCAGAGGTCCCTCTTGCAGCTCCATATTGTTACTAGATGAAGGTTGACCACATGGATATACAAAAGAATTGAGACTAAAAGTGTGAAATAGCCTAACCCTGAAATGGTGATAAATTGTGCATCTTTGTGGTTCTGCCGAAAATTATCTCAACAACCTCCCAAATTTAGGTGATAGGACTTGAATCGTTCTGTATAGTCCTGATATATTTCTTTTGATGTAAGGTCACAGATGGTTAAAAATGCAAAAAATAGATATCTGCTCTTCAATTATTACAGGTGTAGCAACATCTTTCTTCAATGACAAGAACCGTAATTTAGTGCGGGACTTGGTGGAACTGATCGTAGAAACAAAACAAGAATTGCCACCATGGCTAGACTCTATGGCATCAGATCAGCGAATGCCACAGAATAATCGACGTAGTGGTGGTGCTGGAAAGAGGTGAGTTTTCAAAAGTAGTTGAATAGCACATGTGCATATTAGATTGCAGCTAATAGTGACTCTTGAAAAATTGTGTTACTTCCATTTCACCATATTGATTGGCTCCTTATTGATTTTTGCATCATAACAGGTAATTATTTTTAAAAGTTTTAAAAAGATAATTAAAATAATACACCACTTCAGGCATTAATTTCATTCTTTGCCAAATTTTATGGGAAATAAAGCCGTAATTATTTTTAAAAGTTTTAAAAAGATAATTAAAATAATACACCACTTCAGGCATTAATTTCATTCTTTGCCAAATTTTATGGGAAATAAAGCTGATGTACAGTTAACTTTCATTTCAGCTTGCCATAAGAGAATTCAAATTTGAGTAAGGCTAAAAGCTCTGAAATAAATCTTTGTATGTGGAAAATTAGAATAACTGAAAATTCAGAAAATGTAATGTGTTCTATTAAGTGATATTTAGTTGAGAGAGAAGCTTCACACATTGTCATCAGAGTGTGGCAAAGTAAAGAAACTTCAGTAGAGGAATGAGGAAGAGTGTGGTGTTCTTATATAATATGTGGGACTGGTGAACTCTCTTGCAAAATTTTTATGAAAATCAGCAGTCATACTTAGACATGAATGCACAGACAATATTATAACAATTTCTGTTCTGGTTCAGTGAATAGTAGGTGACACTAAAGTTCAGATTTAAATATTATAATTTATGAATTTGAAAGAACAAAAATTAGTGTGCAGAATGTATAGTCAGGTGTAAGGTTTTAAATTATGTATTTTAAAATACTTTGTCAAGAGCTCTAGAAATTTCAGATGACTTGTCAAATCTGTGATAAGTAGAGAATTTTTCCTGAAGGCATACAGTTTCAGGTAAAATGATAATGGCATTTTTAACATGCTGCTTTTAGAGGCTGGCACTGTAAGGCGTAAGGAAATGCTCCTACAGGTTACATTAACGAAGCAGTTTAATGCCACAGAAGTAATGATGTTGACCAGCTCAGTGAAGAAGGTCTTAACAGTTTTGTTAGATTTAAAACCCACCTATGTGTAAATTTTGCTAAGATTGAAGAACAGAAAATTTTTTGGTAGTACACTTGGTCGTCGACTTACGACCACAAAAATGAATTTACATTTGTTTTAGGAGGTCCCTTAAAAAGTGTAAAATTGAGGTTTCACTGTATTTATAAACTAATTCACATTTGACAGTAGCTTGTAGTGTATCTTCCCATATCCAAACATCAACATTGGCAGAATAGAAATAATACATAAAACAATATACTGTTCACTTGCCATGATGTGCTCTATACCAACTATGCTTTATACCCTACCTGGAAGAGTAGACAGCATTCTTTAAATGTGGCTAAGCTGGTTGTTGCTTGTTAATACTTGAAATTGCATTGCTATGGTAAACTGTTAAGAAGCAAACTCAAGTCCATTATATTGCCTACCTTAATTGCAAGGGTAACTTCATAGTATAAGTGTACAGCTGTCATAAATCTGGTAACAAGAAAATTTGTATCAGGATGTCAAGATTGCTTCAGCATTTGGATAAGTGGTAGTACTCTGTAGTTGTAGATTCACAGTTTCAGTTAACAGAAGAGAGAATTGTGTAGGTGACACAACATTCTTTATGGTAAAAAGAATGGCTACAGAATCATTGGCACGTGACTAATGGCAACGGAACTGTAGCATCATATATGTTGCCTTCTGCCTTGTCACCTGTAACATCATGCAACTGCAGATAATGCAAGTGTAAAAGTGCCTGTTACATATAACATTGAACATTAACATTGAAAATGGAGAATATTTTTCTGTACCACAAATTTTCCTCTGAACTAAATAATTCCTTTTAGATGTGAGGTGTTTTCTACCTATGTTATATGAAGTGTTTTTAAATGAATATAAAAGGCTATGTATTTTTACCAATTCTTTTTTAGAAGTTTTTGTTTTCACTCTCTGGTGTATGTTACACAGTGTGTTCTTGTAAAGTAATTGTACAGTACATCGACTTTATATTGAGATTACTTGAAGTCGTGTTCATATTTCAAATTGTGATAAACTGCAGGTTTAAAACTGATGTTACATTTCTGTTTCAGATTCAGTGGAGGTTTTGGTGCAAGAGATTACCGTCAGCAAGGTGGAAATCGGTCAGGGCCTTCAGGGGGTGGCGGAGGCAGGAATACTGGGGGTTATGGAGGCTATGGTGGTGGTGGACATTCAGGTAATTTCTGGATTTATTATGTGTTATTTTTTATTGTGGTTAACAGTTTTCCCATGATGTATATAATGTCCTCACTCCCTCTCCTGCTGCCAGCAAAATAGCTGTTTCTTGCGTTTCAACTCTATTCTTCATGTACCTCCCTCTCAATCTAGCAAGAGCTATGGTAATATAATAGGACAGAAAAAGAAAGGGCAAAGCTATCCCTGTAACAGACCATGAAGTCCCATAGAGATATGAGATGTCGAAGCTCCCACATTTTTGATACGGTCAGCTCACAGATAGTAGTGAGGTCAGCCTTACATACCTGCCACCCTTAACTCCCAGGAAGATGCCTGGTACTCATTTCTGTTAGAGGCTGAGTTGACCCCATGGCCATGGTGTGACTGGAAGGGTTAGGTCTATTGAAAAATTCAGTGACGTCATCAGGAATCAAACCTGGATCCTTCCAGCTTGTGACATAGTGCCTCACCCAACTATGCTACCCATTATGTAGTTTTCTCCAGTCTCCTGTCCATTTCTCTTTGATCCAAATATTCTCAACCACCCTCAGCCTTTGTGCCTCCCTTAGTGCCAGAGACAAAGTTTCACACCCATAGAGAACCATATGCAGTATTATAGTTTCTTTTTTACGTCTTTAGACAGCAGATGAGAAGACAAAAGCTTTTGGACAGAATAGTAGTAAGTATTACCTGAATTCATTAGCCTCATTTCCTCCTGAATTGAATTTTGATTTGTTACTGTCATTCTCAAGTATTTTAACTGTGCCATATTTTCAAAGGATCTGTTAACTATCTATGTTGTGATTTTGCTTTGCATTCTGGTGATGAGACAGCAGCATATACTTAGTTTTCTCTGCATTTACTTTCAGACCAACCTCCTACCTAGTGTCAATTAAAGTTTGTTTTCCTTTATGGTGTCTGTGTTATCTCCCATTAGATTAACATCATCATCATAGACCAGCAGCTGATGTGCCCCCATTTAATTTTATTCCCACCTGATTTTCTTCGACCCTCCTAATGGCATATTCTAAAGCAGTGGTGATAAAGCATCTCCTTGCTTTAGAACATTTTGGACAGGAAAATTATCAGACAAATGTTTACCTATATGGACTCTACGTTTTGTTTAAACACATTTTAATGACCCTAAATAGTTTCATGGGTACCCCAAATCCCATGAGAATATTGTACAATACTTCCCTCCTAACCACGTTGTAGGTTTTCTTGAAATCTGTGAATAGCCATTGTACTCCCATTTGTCAGATAATGAAGGATAAATGGGAGTACAATGGCTATTTATCCTTCAATATCTGACAAATGGAAAAAAAAAATGTGATCAGTAATTCATCGGTTACATTGAAACACACACTGATGATCCCAAATTATTTCATCTCTATATGGACTTAATCTTGAGAGAAGGGTATTGAATAAAATTTCTGTGGTGATGATAACAGTGATATCCCGCAATAGTTACTACAGTCAAGTTTTATCACCCTTGTAAGTTGGTACAGTAATAGACTGCTTCCACCTATCACGCAATTCTTCCTTATTCCAAATATAATTAATGAGTTTACGGATCTCAAATTTTAATGTTTGACCTCCTGCTTGAATCAGTTCTGCTGGAATAGGAGCACTACCTTTTCAATTTTGCAATAACAGTTTCAGTCTCAAAAGGACTGAGATCCGCTACTAATGGCTCACCTGTATGTATGTCTATCTGCCTAACGTCGCTGGCCCTTTGTACATCCAATAAATGAGAGAAGTTGTTCTTCCTCCTGTTCAAATAATTGTGAGGAACTGCAAGCAGATCACCCTTCTCATCCTTCACCAAGCTACTTCTAGGATATAACCCCTCTTAAATTCGTTTTTCCTCTATACAGATCGCTAATGTTTTGTTCTTACTGTTTGTTGCAAGCTTATTAATTTTGTCTTTCAGATATTCTCACTTTTTATTCATGAAATGCCTGCTGGTTTCGCATCTTGTATTGTTCAGATTATCCCCATTCATTTCACCTGGATCCTGTAGCCACTGCAGTTTGACTTGTTTTCTTTAACCTAGTAATTTTGACCTAAAATATAAGTTAGATTTAGTCAGAGAACAGGTCAGATGGGATGGAGGTGGCATCGCACCAGCAGGAGACTATACATTTTTCTATGGAAAGGGGAATGGAAATCATGAATTAGGTACAGGTTTTTTCGTACATAAGAGAATCGTATCAGCATTTAAGAGGGTAGAATTCATTAGTGATAGGATATCATATATAATACTAAAAGGTCGCTGGTGTGATATCATTGTTATGAATGTTCACACCACAACAGAAGATAAAATTGATGACATGAAGGATAGATTCTGCGAAGAACTAGAACATGTATTTGATAAATTCCCGAAGTACCCTATGAAAATTTTGTTAGGAGATTTCAGTGCCAAAGTACGGAGGGAAGACATTTTCAAACCAACAGTTGGGAATGAGAGTTTGCATGAAATTATTAATGATAATGGAGTTAGAGTAGTAAACTTTGCCACATCAAAAAATCTTACTGTCAAAAGTACAATGTTCCCACATCGTAACATCCATAA